TGGTTAGTCCTTGATATTGAGTATTTAAATTCAACGATCAAATAGATGATAACCCTAATGTAGAGCATAAAAACAGACAGGAGAAATTATAAAATTAATAATGTCTTTAAGCATAAAAGTATGGCGGAATATTTCCAAAACTTACGATTGACAAGAATGAAAAAATGTATGGAGCATAATATGATAAAAAGAAAACAAGAAAACCGATAAGTGAAGTGACAACGATAGTACTAGATCATATAAGGCAAAATTCAAAGTAAAACTTAGAAAAGCCAAAACTTAAACGCACCATTGCTGAACGAACCGATTGCAATAAGACGCGCGAGAAGGCTGGAAAGGTAAGCAACCCGAAAATTCGCCATTGTAAAAGAAATGATATAAATACATACAAAAGGATTTTTTAATCAAACGTTTTATGAATAATTAGTAGTGAAATTAAGAATTTCTGGTAACAGTGCGTAGTTATATACATATAAACCGAAAGTAACGTAACAGATAACTTATTGCACATTTTACAATCTTGAGATTAAATGATATCTAAAAGTGACACGACTGGCTGACTCTATGCTCGAAGACTGGTTGCTTGCTCTATGCAGATAATTAAGCTCCACCTGCCTCCCCCTTCGCTATGACGACGACATGCCTCACTAGTCTGAGAAGAGCCTAAAGCCTGTAATACAAACACGAATAAAGTCATAAATCTAACCTTTTGCTAAGCTAATTAAGAATATAAATGAATAATTTAGGCCTTACCGGACGAACTCCCCGAAATTAACGACGACCATAGCCACCTGAAGGAAATTGATAAGTGGGGTAAGGTGTCATACCTGCGCCAGAGTAAGGACCGCTCCTTTGATAGCCCTGACTGATAGGTCGCATGGGCCCACCACCATAAGCTCTTTGAGTTCCATAATTGCCGAAGCCATCCCCCATTGCATCCCAGCGGCCACCACCGGTACCGCTTCTGCTCATCTGGCCACCCCAAACACCCCCTTGAAAGATAAAAACAACTAAAACTTACCTATTGCGTTGCTAACATTCATCGGATCATAGCCATTACCCCAATTGTTACCGTAGCCAGTGTACCCACCCCCCATTTGCGGAAGACCAGCCGTGGCATTGTAGCCACCATTGTAATCATTATTGTAGCCACCACCATAGCCATCATATCTGGCTTCCTGTTTTCTTCTCATTTGATTCATCTGCTCCTTGCTAAGTGCCTTCTTCACGTCGACTCTGCTAGCGCCTATGAAATGAGGCTTGTACAATATTGCTTTATCGACCGAGTCATAGTCATCGAAGGTAACAAATCCGAATCCTCGACTTTCACCAGACTCTTTGAACTTTACAACTTCACACTCCCGCATGCTGCCGTATTTGATGAAGCAGTCATTGAGATCCTCACTGGTGACCTCCTTTTTGAGGCCGCCAACGAATAGCTTAGATACGGTCATATGAGCCTCCGGGTTTTGTGAGTCCTCACGGGGCATAGCTCTCTTTGATTCAACAGTCTTACCCTCAATAGAATGAGGACGGCAAGACTGCGCAGCATCCACCATCTCTGGCTCCTTGTAAGTAATAAAGCCGAAGCCCTTAGACCGACTAGAGCGTTTATCTTTCATCACGACAGCATCGACAACCTCTCCCCATTGTCCATAGTATTCTCTCAACTTCGATTCAGTTGTTTGAGGATTTAAGCCACCGATAAATAGCTTTCGAAATTGCTCGGTGGTCCTGTCATTATGTAAAGAGCTGGCGGACATGTCTACGTAAGAAGAGATATGGCAGAAGACCTACAAGACGTTTAAATAAACAAAATGGATAGACCTAAAATGTATTTTTATAGTAAAAAATCGTATTAGTAAATTTAAATTAAACATTTATAAGATCAATTTTATTTATACGAAAAGTACTTACGTCCACATTCGAGAAAATTAACCTTCGGCTAAAGCGACCTAAAATATTGTTAAGTATGGTTCATAGACTATTCTAATATCTAGAATTATGGCTTAAATTGCATAACCCTATAAACTTTGAATCAAAATACTTGAGCCTAAGTCTTTATATTATTCCCCATCCTACGGTAGACAAGACGACAATGTAAAGCGTCGTTCGAAGAGGACACTACTTCTACCGACACTAAATATCCTGCCCGAATTAAATGGAGCTTACACTTCTCTCCGAATGCTTGTCTTTCAGTTAGTTAGTTTGCTAGGTAAGGTGCATGCTTAAACACAAGATTTACTCCGTACACATTGTATGGATCTCTTAAGTTCCTTGATATAACAGTATTTTATTGAGATATGAATTTATCAAAATTAAGAAAGCATTATCAATAGTAAAAGTTATTTGGGGTTTTCAGTAAAATAGGCAGTC